GTCCACCTGAAATGCAGGAGCAGGTGGACAATGCCATGGTACTGGTACTCGTCTTTTGGGACCACACGGTAGAAAAAGGGGAACTGAGCTTCATCTTTCAGGTCACGGGAGACAAAACCATAGCTGACCTCGTAAGGAACAACAAAAGAGTGTCAGAAAAGAAATGAAAATGGTACTTCTTTAGCACCCACTATTAATTATTTGTGTATTTAAAACTTTCGTATAAAGTCCCTTCACAGACATCTCACGATGTTTAACAACAAATTAATACCATAAAATTTTCCAACATGCATCCTGCATCCTTGTTCTCCCCAAGGCTTCTGACTCTTTCAGTCTATGGGCACTTTGGCTGCACCCCCATCCCTACCTGTGGCATCTTGTAGAGGCTCAGCATGGCTGAAATATGGTTGGAGATTTCCGTGTCTGCCCCTTCCAGGACAGCCAGCATGTCATTCTGCCTTCCACAGCCATAGTTGGGGATGTTCTGATGCCCAGGAGACAGCAGGTCCAGCATGGCATCGTAGGTGATTCTGGCATCAAAATAGTTGTCATAGATGTTGTAGCCCAGGGTGAGGTTGGGCAAGAGCCTCACCTCCCGGTTGATCTCCTGAATGGCATACAAGAAGGCCATGTTGTTCAAATAGATTGTATCACCCTTTCTGCAGCAAAACATATTTGTTTCATTATCAAACTGCGTTTATGGGGGGGAAAAGTCAATTTCCTTATTCCAAAACTTGATGGGTAGAGCCAAAGAGGAACAACCCGTAAGCAACATGGCAGAGCCTCACAAATGTCTTGGTTTAGGCAAGTGGTAGCATCATGGCTGAAATCAAAAACTCATGGAATAGCAGAGTTGTGAGGGGCCATGAAAAACAGAAGGTCCAACTCTTGTTGTTGCAGCACTCCAGTTTGCACCACTGAGATGGCCTTACAGGTTCACCTTGAATGTCTCTAGTGTGGGAGAGCCCAACACCTCTCTAGGCAGCTGGTTCCACTGTTGTCTTGCTCTGACAGTATGGAAACTTTTCCTGCATCTGTTTTGTCCTGTCCTGCTTTCTGCTGCACCATGTGCACTTGAAAAGAATTGGGCTGAAGCAGCAATGAAAGGCCCCTATGGAGACCCTGAAGGAAGTCAAAGAAATCTGTCCTGGGGCAGATAGATATAATGAGTGCCTTAATCAATGGGAGCCCCAATCATTGGGGAATCATGCATTTAACACAGAAACAGCATATCTTCTTGGACGGACAATCCATAAATTGCCTTAACTGTTATCCAAGCTCCAGTTTTCAGAAGTCAAGAATCATTACAATTAAACATGATGGTCCTGGAAAAGAATCTCACTCTTTCTAGTGCGAGAAAAAGGTTAAATGTTCATCTTTCCCTGTGCTGGGTGAAAATGGCAGGAAGGGGACACCAAACGATGCCCCAGCGTCCATTCGGACTGCTCCAGCATCGGAAGCTTAATGTACACTGAGGACAAAAAGTGGGATTAGGTATTGTATTAACATGGAAAGCAGCAGGGAAAGCAACATGTTCCCTTTTCTGTCCAGGAAATATGTCAGGAAAAAATCAGATCCTGCTGGAGGAACATTAACCCCATCACTTCCCAATGACTTACATTTCAAGGCTGATAAAAGGCGGGTGGGAGAACGAGTTTAGCTCGAAGGTAGCATGCAGCATGGGCAAGATGCCACCGATGCGGTGGTCCCCTGGCCTGTAAAAGTTGTACGGATCAAAGGGATCCTTCATTAACTTCAAGGGGCACTTGGCCGCCCTCTTCCCCTGGGTGGCACAAGGCAGCACCAGGAGCAGCAGAAGAAGAGTCCCGCTAGGCATGCCTATACCCCTCGCAGGAGCCGGGCTGCAGACGGGGACTTTGCCACCGCAGACAGAGCCCAGCCAGGGCTTCCGACACAAGGGGAGGACCAGGACCCTCACGCCCTCAGCATCCCTGCCTGCTCTCTGCCACAGCCTGCTCTCCGTGGTGCACAATCCATCTGCCAGTCACCTTATGCCCAGTGTGTGAAATTGCCACACGTGTCTCCAGAGCAATCTTCTGGGAAATCCCTGGAGCTTTGATTAGAAGAAGGATGCTACATCACCATGATCTTAATAATTAGAGAAATAAGCATGAAGTCTGTTACACCCTGAGCTGTATGCAATTTTGTGGCAGGTGTGCTGCTGGAGACAAAAATGCTGTAAGAACTTGCAATAAAACTTGAAAAACTTGCTGGTGAAACTAATGCTCTGCTCAATACAGATCAGCAGATGTGATTTGCACCTAACCATCCCCCAACCAATGCATGCTGCATGAACGTTCAGCAGAGCTGCCCAGTGTTAGTGCTGATGAACCAGAAGGGGTTGGGAGGGGTGGTGGAGAGGATGCCCCAACCCTGGTGGCCAGAAGCAGGAGATGGTCCTTTGTAGCAGATTGGGAATGGCTGAGTGGGGGAAGACTTCTGTGCCATCCCACCTTCTGATCCCTTCTCCATCTCACAGTTCCTTGGTGGTCTGGTTCCTACACCCTCAGATTCAGCTGTGCTCCTGGTGAATGCCAAGTCTGTGCTGAGACCTCACTCACACGTCTTCGGATTCTGGAAGAGGGAGCTGAACTGGGATGCATCACTTGGATCCAGGTGGGTGGGATGGATGGGACCCTGCTCTCTCCATGTGGGGATCTATGCAGCATGAGGCCAGGAAGGGGGAACAGGAGGGAGAAGGAGCTGTTGACAGGAACCATTCAAGTTCTATCCTACTCCAAAGGAAATGCTTCCATCTTTGAATAGACCTTGAGGATGGGTACGTGGTGCTGAGGCAAGGAGAGAGATTGGAGATGCAACTGGTGTATCTCCCAACCTGTTGGACAAGCGGCTCCCTGACTGAACTGAGGCAGTTTCAAATATGGTTCTGGAGAACCTCACGACTTTCTTCTGGTAGAACTTTAATTTCAGGACAGGGCTGCCTTAAAAGGACCATATTGAGATTTTCTGGTCTTCAGAACACCTGAGTAGAGTATAGAAGGACAGTACATATAATAGATTTCATCTTTGCCTCAGATCATGGGAAGGTTGCCTGGTAGGAAAAAAAGTAATCCATTTCCAGTGGTCTTACCATGCCAATCCATTTGGAAAATCCGCCCTTGGAAACTTATGGACCCTGATGGGCTCCTGAATGATCTACTGGATCTTCCAGTAGCCAGAGACAGCTGTGGTGGAACAAGGTTGATGGTACCATCTGATGAAAACCTTTTCCAGAAAGCAGCGATCCATGCCAAGAAGTACCCACTGACAACCACCACCACCCTATTTTAGCTAGATCCTTCTGGGGCCAGTGTATCCAATGGGATTATTGGAGCCCATGTCTGGTACTGGAAGAGATCCACCCTTAGGCACTCTGATGGATGATCTCTTTGGAGATAGGACCACAGGAATGTATCCATGGTACTTCTCAATTTCATGCTGCCTTCCAATGTTGACCATCATGTCCTCCCAGATCATCTCCAAGCTTTGGGACCTGAGGGCAGCATTTTGCTGTGGTTTGGGTCTTACTAGCATTGGGTGTCTGAACTGTGGCCCTTAACAACGGAACTGTGAGCTATCCTGGGGTACCATCTTCCCCCCAGTGTTATATAATAGATATATGATAGCTGGAGATGATCCTTTGTAATCAAGTGGGAATAACAGCACTGGGGAAGACCTTAAGCCATTCAATGGATTGGGCCAAGATGTTGCCATCTATTGCTGAGGAGACCAGGCTTCATTCTTGGTGATCTCCAAGTCAGCAGAAGCTGCAAATGTTCCAAACATGTTCTACCTGGATGCATTTATGGCTTGGATGAGGGCCAATAGACTCAACTGATTCCTGATAAGACAGAGACTTTCTGGTTGGGTGAATCTTATGTCTGGAAACTGGGGCATTTCCTTGGTTCAGATGAAGTGACACTTCATTGGAAGGAACAGAAACATCCTTTAGGGGTGTTCCTGGATCCGTCCTTGCCACTCAGAGGACCCATTACCAACCTGTGTTGGTATGTTAATTACACATGTTCTTGGATAGGGATCCATGCACTGGTAACCTCATGGCTGGATCACATGGGATCATGTGTCCCCATTATAACCAGAAATAACATCTTGGCATGCAAAGGATGAAATGATTTCGGTTATACACATGTCTCAAAAATTGTTGTGAAACCTGGGAAACTTAATCAACGGTTAAACATGAGTGCTTTACTTAATTAATGGGACAGGATATGAAATTCCTTATAGAAATTTTCATGTTTTTTTTTCCCAAGGGGAATGCAAAAGTGGAGAAAACTATTTCAATTTAATGCTGCATCTCAGAACTTTTGAGAAACTCATTCCAGAAGCTCAATCCAGACAAAGCTGAGATGTTGTTGGTGGGTGGTTTCTGTGACCAAATGGAGGGAATTTGAACCTGTTCTAGATGGGATTTCACTCCCCCTGGAGGGGCAGGTTCATAGCTTGGGGCCATCTTTGTCTCTTGAGGCCTAGGTGGTGTCAATGGCCTTCCACCACCTTTAGGTAGTGGCCCAGCTGCAACCCTGTGTGGCCAGGGATAGCCTGCATCCAGTAATCTACACTCTGGTAATCTCTAAGGTGGAGTACTGCAATACTCTCTACATGGGGCTGCCCTCAGGGGTAATTCAGAAGCTGCCAGATTAATAACTAGGACCTGTAGGTTGAAACACATACGGCTGGTTCTGGCCCACTTGCATGGACTGCCTACATGTGTTTGAGCCCAGTTCGAGGTGCTGGTTTTAATTTGTAAAGACTTACATGGCCTGGGACATCAATACCCAATGGAGCACCTCTCCCAACTGCAAAACTTCCTGATGGAGAGGACCCCTAGGATATGGAATGGGCTTCCAAGGAAGGTGGTTGAGGCCCCATCAATGAAGGTCTTTGAGGAAAGACTGGACAAGCACATGCTTCCCTTGAAGACGGTCCGGATACTTCAATTGGTTCAAAATAGAGCTGCCAGGTTGCTGACGGGGACGGGGCATTATGTTCACATGACTCCAGTCCTCCGACAGCTTCACTGGCTTCCCATTGAAGTCCGGGCCCAATTCAAGGTGTTGGTTATGACCTATAAAGCCCTAAACGGCTTGGGTCCTGGTTACCTGAAGGAGCGCTTACATCCATATATGCCTGACCGCCCCTTGAGATCTGCAGGAGAGGCCCTTCTCTGGGAACCCTCCGTGAAAGAAATTAGGAGGGTAGGTACTCAGAGGAGGGCTTTCTCTGCGGTGGCGCCCAATCTATGGAATGAGCTCCCCAGAGAGGTCCGCCTGGCGCCGTCGTTATTTGTTTTTTGGCGCCAGGTGAAGACCTTTTTATTTAAACATCATTTTAATTGTTAAGAATATTTGCTAATTTATCTGGCCGGGGTGACTTCTTTTATATTTTTTATTTATTTTATATTGTTAATTTTAATTTTATATTGTTATTTTTGTATTTTATTGTATTTTATTGTGTTGTAAGCCGCCCTGAGGCTTCGGCAAGGGGCGGCATAGAAATGTTTTAATAAATAATAAATAAATAAATAAATAAATAAATAAATAAATAAAATGTTGGGGATTACATGAGTGGAGTCGGCTGGAGCCAGGGGTCAGAATAGATGGCCCAGGAGACCCCTTCTGACTCTTGGTTTCTATGTTTCTAATCCACTCAGACAGTACATTGAAGATATGGGCCCTGTCTCTGAATGTCATCTTCAAGGAGAAGGGGCCACCCTCGCCATTAAAGAATGAGTTTTCCACTGACACCCACCTCGAGCTAACTGTAATATTTTTTTCAGTGCAAGGTTAAATTCCTCTACCACAGGGAATTTAATAAGTTTACTGTTCTATCGGGGCTTGCATTGGGTGCTTAAATGGGTCTTACAATTTAATCTATATATGTTGTTGTAGCTTTTTAAGTTCTGTATTAAAATTGGCTTTTAAATTTTGTGTGGTAACTTTTGTGATGTCGTTATTGTCGTCTGTGTTTTATATTGCATTTCATGTGTTGTGGGAGCCACACAAAGAGTCTTCTCTGTTGGGCAGTAGAGAAATAAAATGAATAAAACTGGTGACTGAAGCAAATGTAAAGTGCAAAGCTGCACATGGACAGAGAATGTGTTTTGCTACTGTGTTTCCCCAAAAATAAGACTGAGTCTTATATTAGTTTTTGCTCCAAAAGATGCACTAGGGCATATTTTCAGGTGATGCCTTATTTTTTCGTGTACAAAAATCTACATTTATTCATGTATGAACATCTACATTTATTCATGTATGAACATCTACATTTATTCATGTACAAAAATCTACATTTGTTCAAATATAGCCATGCAATTTGAATTGTGGTGCTGGCAGAGACTCCTGCGAGTCCCTTGGACCGCAAGGCGATCAAACCGGTCAGTCCTAGAGGAGATCAAACTTGACTGCTCTTTAGAAGGCCAGATCCTGAAGATGAAACTCAAGTACTTTGGCCACCTAACGAGAAGGAAGGACTCCCTGGAGAAGACCCTGATGGTGGGAAGAATGGACTGCAAAAGGAGAAGGGGATGGCAGAGAATGAGGTGGATGGATGGAGTCATGGGGGCAGTGGGCATGAGCTTAAGTGGAGTCTGGGGGATGGTGGAGGACAGAAAGGCCTGGAGGAATGTTATTCATGGGGTCACGATGGGTCGGACACGACTTCGCGACTAATAACAACAAAAAGCCATGTCATCTTCCTCTAGAACATCATCATAACTCTCCAAACCCCAAATTATGTTGCAACAGACATACTAAGTGTGTCCATCTGGTTGACGATCTTAACTAGGGCTTATTTTGG